CTCGGTCACCGACCAAGATATCAGTACCCGATTTTGGGTGGACACAGGGGCAGAGGTGAGAATCACACCTCCCTTTCCCTCTGATCGCGAACGCCCACCAGATATACTCACTCTCATGGCTGTGAACAACACACCGATCACCACGTACGGCAAACGCTCACTAACAAACGCTCACTAACGCTCAACCTCGGTCTTCATCGCAACTTCCAGTGGATATTCCTTGTCGTAGACATGCAGAAGCCGATCATCGGAGCAGACTTCCTCCGGCACTTTGCACTCCTGGGGGACATGCGACAACACCAGCTTACAGACACATCTACTCACCTCTGTATCCAAGGAATTGTCATGCAGGACCCCTCACCCAGCCCTGTCTTCACTCCCCAAAACACAGGTGATTCCTCTTCTTTCTCAGTTCCCTACTCTCACACAAGTGTGCTCCCCTGACCCTCCTATCAAACACGACATCACGCACCACATCATCACTTCAGGCCCCCCAGTCTCCGCCCGTCCTTGTCACCTGGCACCGGAACGGCTCAAGATATGTTGCAGCTCGGAATCATCCACCCTTCCTCCAGTGCCTGGTCTTCCCACTTACACATGGTGCCCAAGAAGACCACGGGGGGATTGGCGCCCATGCGGTGACTATTGCTCTCTCAACCGGATCACCGTTCCTGACCGCTACCCTGTCCCGCACATTCAGGATTTTTCCTCCACCTTCCAAGGCACTACCATCTTCTCGAAGCTAGATCTGGTACGTGCCTATCACCAGATTCCAGTGGAGCCAACAGACGTCCACAAGACCGCTGTGACCATGCTGTTCGGTTTATTCGAATTTGTACGAATGCCATTTGGTCTCCGAAACGCAGCGCAAACGTTTCAATGTTTCATCGACAAGGTTTTGCGTGGCCTCCACTTCTGCTACGCATACATGGACGATCTTGTAATCGCTAGCACGACTCTGGACGAACATCTACAGCACGTACGCCTCGTCTTCGAACGACTCAGCGAACATTCCCAAGTGCCTCTTCGGTGTCGCCACTCTAACCTTCATCGGTCACCACATTGACCAACTACCCCCTACAAGAAAAGGTACAGATTGTACGCAATTTCCCACAGCCCTCATCCCAGCAGTAGCTACGAGAGTTTGTGGGTCTTGTCAACCTTTATCACTGCTTTATACTCCACTGTGCAGAACTGCAACCCCTGCACGCACTTCTTGCTAATAAGACTCAGACCATCGCTTGTAACGACACTGCTATCACATCATTTAACACAACGAAAGATGCTCTCACCAATGGCACTCTGCACTCATACCCCAAGCTGGATGCACCGACCTGCCTCATGACTGATGCATCAGACGCTGCAGTGGGAGCCGTACTTCAACAACTCGTCGATGGGACATGGCAGCCAATCTCGTTCATCTCCAAAAAGCTACGTCCCGCTGAGACACGTCACAGTACCTTCAACCAGGAACCATTAGCGGTCTACATGGCAATCAAGCATTTCCGTCATTTCCGGGAGGGTCGGCACTTTTATGTCCTCACAGATCACAAGCCATTCACGTAAACTGTCACAGCCCGTCTTGATCGTCACTCTCCGCGGCATGCGAGACAGCTCGACTACATCTCCCAATTTACCTCGGCCACTTGACATGTCAAAGGACACAACAACCCAGTCGCAGACGCTCTGTCACACATCGAAACCAACGCTCTGGTCACTGGACTTCCGTCAGTACTTTGCCGCCATGGTCGAGGCTCAGAAAAGGGATCCAGAGATTCAAGCTCTGCAATCTTCCCCACTCTCTTCGCTCAAGGTGGAATCCATCCCTGTGCTAATGTCTACCGACACTATCCTCTGTGACATGTCCACTGGGCCTCCTCACCCTCTTGTCCCACCCCGGATCCGAGCAACTCGACAACTCTTTGCCTCGCGATACGTGTGGACGGAAATGAATTCAGACGTACGCAGATGGACACGTCCCTGCATCCAGTGTCAGCGCTCAAAAGAACAGCATCACACTCACCCAACCCTCTTCTTTTCCAACCCCTGAGGCAAGATTCGACACTCTCCATATCGACAACTCCCACACTCCAGAGGATACACTTACTTCTTTACATGCGTAGACCATTTCACACAATTGCCAGAGGCTCTTCCTCTCTCTTCTATCACTGCAGAAGCTGTCGCCCAAACTTTCATCAGCAGGTGGATCTCACGTTTTGGTGTTCCCTCTACAAATTCTTACAGATCGCGGACGTCAGTTAGAGTCCAATCTCTGGAACGCACTCATGAATCTCCTCGGATCGAAACGCGCCAGAACAACCGCTTACTACCCTAAGTCGAATGGCATGGTGGAACATTTTCACCGACAGCTGAAAGCTCAACCCAATCCTTCCGCATCGATGGACTCTCTACCACTGGTACTCCTTGGTGGGGGGGACATAACAACGTGCGGAGAACATGTGCTTAGTTTCTAGAACATTCCAGTGTGTTTATATATTGGTAGTTAGTACATTGTGATTCAGTTGTGTCAGTTACCCAACAAATGTCAGCCTTTCGATGGATAAAGCCCCCCAAGTAGCAACAAAAGGAAAGATGGAGGCGAGAAGGAGGTAGAAGTACTGTATGCCGATGGTGTATCGTACCGTGGATGGCTATCTTCATACAATTTCGAAACTAGGAAATGGATTGTCAAACTTTACGATGATGATGGAACTGAAGTGAATTTTCCGGATAAAGAGGTAAAAAATATAATACATCATGTTTATTCGTCACAATCATCCCATTATACCCCTAGTTTAACTAAACCACGCTCAAATAGCAAATTACCCTATTGAATGACTCACTTCATTTGCACTTTGTCATCTAATTCATAACTAACAGTTAGTTTAACTCTGTTTAATTATTATCTCATTAACAACTCTGTTTTATTATTACCCTCAGCGCGTATGCGCAGCGAGGGTACTGTAGTTGGGTTTGTCTGTCTGTCTGTCTGTCTGTGTGTCTGTTACTCACAATCTCACTTCTCGAATGTCTGTTCGTCTCACAAATGATACGACCTACTTAACGGGCAATGAAGGTCAGAAATTTCGAACGGTTTTCTCTGAAAATGCTTCGTTGCAAAGCTTCCGCCATTGTACGGCTAGTGCTAGTAGGCCAATTTTATCGCTGCGGAAAATGCGCATGCGCATATGTTCGACCACGTGGTGTAAAGGGCCATTTTGTTTCTCGTTCCGTGAGAAGACGTCTCCAGGTCTGTGAGTTGCTATTTTACTATCATGCCTCCAAGTAAGGTATGTCCACAGTGTGAAACTATTGTACCACTAAGGCTGGAAGTGTGTAAATCTTGCCAACATGTCTTTCGAGCCAAGAGAAAAGCAGAGCATAATTTGCCATGAAACGCATGCGAGTCTTACAGTCAGATAAGCTATGAAGGCTAAAGATATGTTGCAGAAAGCCAGTAAATGAGCATCAGAAACTAACGAGCAAACTGTGCATAGACAGAATAGAAAGCACATGGCAAGCATGAGAGCAGCTGAAACTAGCGAGCAAACTGTGAATAGGCCGCTTACAAACCCTTGAATGATGGTTGGAATATGGGGCGTGGATATAAGCATTTGATGAGGGGTGTCAAGCCATGAATATTAAGTTTGGGAGTAAGTGACAAAGCTTCGATGTGCTTACTTAAATGAGAAACTAAACCCAGCCCATCAATTAGTGGTACTTTACTTACGCGTGCGCGTCACAGTGCGCCGAGGGTTTGCACTTCACTGCTTTTCATTGGGTCTGTGTGTCTGTCTGTGTGTCTGTTACTCTACATCTCACCTCTCGGATGCCTCACAAACGACGCGACGTACTCAACAGGCAATGAAGGTCAGTGGTTTTCTCTGAAAAATGCTCCATTGCAGAGCTACAGCGCTTCCAGCATTGTACGGCTAATGTGTAGTCGGCCATTTTTTATCACGGCGGAAAATGCGCATGCTGTTATGTGCTAATTAGCACAAGCTTACCTCGACCGGGCCGCTTGCTCTGTGTATCTTGAAGGCATAAGAAGTCACAACCAAGGGCATGTATCGACTCCCGCATGCTATTTACTACTGTAGCTAGTCCATGTCAGACTTTCCGCGAGCTACTAGCGTGGATACCACGAGTAAATGCATACTAAAAGCCCAGCCCATCAATTAGTGGTACCGCACGTGCGCAGTTCGCCGAGGGTTTGCACTTCAGCGCTTTTCATTATCTCATCAACAGTGTCATCTGAGTTATTTATTATCTCATCAGCAATTAGGTCTACCATCATCTCATCAACTATCATCTCATCGTTTCCGTTCAGTTTTGCATTCCGCGTGACATGCCCACCGCAAACGCGGTAGAGACTCGCTAGCGGGGGAGCGAAACAAGGCTTTTTCTTAGCGCAAACGCGAAGCAACGAGAAGGCAGTACCCATGCAGGTGCTAGAAGAAATATCCTAACAGTAAGGCCTTCGCATCTCGCGAATGACGGCCCTCACGTGAACGCATGTAAGTCAACGATTCTAAGCAGAACGCAACGAAATGGAACGAATTGCAACGGTAAATAAACGCTGTTTAAGAAGGGAACGGAAGCTCAACAAAATGGAACGGAAATATTTACCCCTACTGTAGCTAAAGAGGTGTGTAAACGCGCTTTCGTTGCCGCGTGCAAACACGTTTTCGCCAGGAGGAAACGTGTTCGTCGCCATGTGTAAACACGTCCATCGCCGCGTGTAAATGCATTCATCGCCATTGCAAACGCATTCGTCGCTGCGTTCGCGAACACGTGTTGAACGCGTTTACGTTATACTTTGCATCTGAGCAGTACTGTATGTACATACATTTCTAGTTTTGTGCAGACTGTGCACAGGTAGAACGGGATCACGAAACGATACTATGGAACCTTTCAAGACTGCAAAAATAACGGCAAAAATAGGCAAGAAAATGGTACTTAGTAAAATCTAATCTTATTTTAAACTTCACAATGCTTACCCTGACTTGTCTGTATTTAGGCTCATTTTTCTTGAGGAAATCAAGACTATCGTAAATGAGAGCAAAACCACAGCTCTTGCCCCCACCAAATGCTGTCCGAAAGCCAAAACAGACTATAACATCTGGGGTTGTCTTGTACATCTTGGCCAGTATCTGCTGAAGCTCAGTCTTTGGGACATTGGCCCGACCAGGATGCAAGACATCCACAATCTATATAAAATACAATTTGTCATTGTATGCGGTACAGTAGATTCAGCAATTACGTACATCACCCAGTGTGCATGAAAACTTTGCGGGAGTGCAATTTCAGCATGTTTCTCGTTGAATTCTTGTACAACATGCGAATAGCATAAGTCTTTGTTAACTACCGTGGGACAATCTACTAACCTTTAGTAGATACCTTACCTTTTCTGTAACTCGTAGTGAATGCAATGTGCAATAGGAAGCAACTTTCGCGGACTCACGCTTTTGCAGAGAGGAGCCTTGTTTTGCCACCACACTTAGCGGTGAATAAAATTGTGTCGGCACATTCAAAGTATGTTTATTTGCTATGTTGAAAACTGTAAATCCATAATAGTTGCCATCCATTAACTTTAGCTTTTTAACAATAGGTCATTGTGACATCCATTAAAGGGAATGCGGCGGGCTAAATTAAGAAATGTTACTAAAAATGAGTTATTATGAACGAAAGTTTCTATCACTAACTACGGTAGTAGTTAGTACAAGTAAATAAAAAATGTTTCGAATTAAAAAAGTGTGGAATATAGGAAGGTAAAGGGACAACAGAGTGATGGCTACATACTTTGAACTGACATTGCTTGCTCGTGTAAAATTTCCTCCACACGAGCCCTATATTGTCGCGAAGTACGAGTGTGCTCCCTTCTATGATGTACATCTATGAATAAGCCATTGAAACTTGCCTTTGTACGTTTATGTATCGTTTTACATGAGTTCTGGGTAGTTCGACATCAATGAACCTTCTCTATAAACATATTCGCAAGGGGAACGTAGTGTGTACGATACTTGTACTCAAGTTCAGAGTGGTTGAATTGCATCGAACCTCCTCGAACATTTCTTGTTTTACAATGCTGCGTTCTTGGCCATCTACATACAGAATCCTTTCACCATTATCCTCGCACTTTACTACACAAACAGTGAAGGTGGCGACAATATAGGGCTTGCGAGGAGGAAATTTTACATGAGCAAGCGATGTCAGTTCAAAGTATGTAGCATAATCAATTGTACTACTGCATCATGTTCACCTTACTTCCTATATTCCACACTTTTTTAATTCTTTTTATTTACTTGTCTCTTTTTCTTTTTTTACTGCATTCACATGCATGGTGTGCATATAAAAGGGGATATTTTTGGGCATAAGCCCATAAAAAAGTTACATTAGTTGCCTTAACTCATTGCACGCGGGGAATCTATATATAGATTCGTTACACGGATGTTAGCCAACGCGATCGGCATATATATAGATGCACAGGAACACTCACTACTCTCTTCGTCCTAGTTGCCGTCGCTACTCGCTGGCACAGCCTAGACCTTGCTACACCTTTGACCTTTGAGTGGGCGCACAGTTTGCGCATGTACAAAATAAAAGGCGGGGCTGGTGTGCGCAGCAGCTGCCACACCTTCCGCGCGTATAATACGCGTCAAAGAGCGATGAATGCAGATCTGCCATGGAAAAGGGGCCTCCCTGCGGCTCTAAGATGACACTAGGCTTTCTAACAGACGAAGAACGAATCTGGGCTTCGTCTGCGGGCCTACACCAAGTATAAACACGCAAACAAAACGGCACGCGCGAACTCGAAAAAACCACGCGGAAGAGGTAATTCCACGCGTGCGCATTAACGCGCGCAATGAGTTAAGCTATCGCCTAAGACGTTTTGCGTCATTCACATTACATCAGTGCACCAAGTTTCATTGTGCAAGTTATAGGCACTGACACCATTTAAAAGTGTTTTTTGCCTGAGGCTGTTTGCTGTTGTTTACAACCTTGTATATTCTGTTTCGGTGAACTCTTTATGATGGTCAATCATTGTACCAACTTTCATTGTTAGAGGACCAACCCCAAGTAATTTATAGGCACAAACACCATTTACAAGTTTTTATTGCCTGGGGCTGTTTGTTGTTGTTTACAAGCTTGTAATTTCTGTTTTGTTGAACTCTGATCATGGTACATCAGTGTACCAAGTTTCATTGTTAGTGGAAAAACCATTAGTGGCACAAACACCATTAAAGGCGTACGTACGCACGAACAAATGGACAAGTGCTCTTGACGGTGCGGGCTTACCAGCGTCTTCCTGGCCACCGATGTCTTACTCGCTAACGTTGGAGACGTAGCGTATATGCCGTGATGCTAGAGAGAGAAGTTGCGGTATGCTCTGCTGATGAGGGCCAACAAGCCCAAAACAGCTGTCAAGAACTCCGAATCTTTTATCTCTTGGCATCACATGGTGTTTTCTACATGAAGCATTCAGCGAGCCGCCTGCCTTCGGGTGCTTGGTTGCCCGCCAGTGCCATGCTGTCGACCACACACCCGTTTCACTCTACGCGTGCTCTGAGTGTTTTCCGTGCGCTTAGCACAACTATCGCCTGGCTTCCTTAGGTAGCTAATGCACAATTCTCTCTTTACATTTTAGCAAGAGAAAAACGAGATAAATAAAAAAACTATTTATACCATAATTCACCCTCGGCGTGCATGCGACGTGCATGGTTACTGTAGTTGGGTTTGTCTGTGTGTTACTCTCAATCTCACTTCTCGTGTGTTTGTTCGTCTCACAAAGGATACGACCTATTTAACGGGCAATGAAGGTCAGAAATTTTGAAACGTTTTCTCTGAAACTGCTCCGTTGCAAAGCTAGAGCGCTTCCAGCATTGTATGGCAAATGCTGGTAGTCACCATATTTTATCGCTGGCAGTTAATGCGCATGCGCTTATATTTAGCACAGGCTTACCTTGACTGGGTCCGCTTGCTCTGTCTATCTTGAAGGCACAAGAAGTCACAACGAATGGCGTGTATCGACTCTCGCGTGCTATCTACTACTGTAGCTAGCCAAGTGTCAGACTCTCTGGGAGCTACTTCGCCGAGGGTTTGCACTTTATTGCTTTTAATTTTAGCTCGTTTTTCTTGTAAAAATTTGAGGTGTATTCGGGAAATCAGAAAACTCGTTTTTGGTCCAAATCATGGTATAAGTACTACCGTACTTAGTGACATAATGCAGGATGACCTGCGTCAACCCTATATACTAAGTACGACCATACTTAGTGATACAGGGATGACACAGGTTGTCCTGCATTAAGCCCATACATTTCAGATTTTCATGTTTCACTTCCTTGACAAAAATACATAATGTATTCAATAGCCAACATCAAAATCACAACAATACATGTTTGTAAATAGCACTTTTCTTAAAATTTACTTCTTCACTCGTAAAACTTTGCAATGGTAGCACGCATGGAGAAGAAACTTGGTATGTAGGCCTTCATTTCCATGACAACCGCATATTTCTTGAAAAAGCCTCAGGCAGTTTTCTTTTAAGCTACATCACCGCTCATCAAACTAGCTAACCGCAGCACGCATGGAGGTGAAACTTGCATAATACATCGTTTCCATGACAACCACAACAACAAATAGCTTCAGGCACTTTTGTCTCCTAACTGTAGCACGCATGGAGGTGAAAGCTGGTGTGCATGTGTATTACATGATTTAGGAACTCAGGAACTTTATAATTACTTCTTCACTCCTCAAACTAGCTAATGGCACCACGCATGGAGATGAAACTTGGTACGTATGCGTGTAACATCATTTCCATGACAAATACATATATATAGCGACTACATATTGTTCAAATAGCTTCAGGCACTTCTCGTCAAGCTTGCTAAAGGGAACACTCATGGAGATGAAACTTGGTCAGGATGTGCATGGTATCGTTTCCATGACAACCACATACTAGTTGGAAAACAACAAATAGCCTCAGGCATTTACTTCTTCACTCCTCAAACTTGCTAACGGCAGCACATATGGAGATGAAACTTGGTACGCATGTAGCACTAAGTACGGTAGTACTTAGGGATAGGCATGGTACCTAGCATCAGATGTATGGAGCTATGATAGGGAGTTTTGCTCATCTTCTTCTCCTTCCTGTTTAACCAGCATAACTCAAAAACCGAAAGAGAAGAAAAGCACTAAAGTGCAAACTCTCGGCGAACTGCGCATGCGCGATACCGCTAATTGTTGCGTTCACTCGTGATCTCTCGCTAGTATATAGATCACGGAGAGTCTGACACGGGCTAGCTAAGGTAGTAGATAGCATGCGGGAGTCGATACACGCCCTTCGTTGTGGCCTCTTGTGCCTCCGAGGTACACAGAGCAAGCGGATGAGGTCGAGGTAAGGCAGTGCTAATTAGTTGTTCAACTTGGTTTTCACACCATAACTTCTGAACGCGGCACTTTACGAAAATCGCCTAATTGAAAATAAAGGCAGTTGAGCGCTGAACCCGCTGGTGTCGCTATTTTGCCTGTTTGTTGCGCGTGGTGGCAGAAAACGTGGTAACAGACGGACAGACAGACCAAGTAGTGTAACCCTCGCTGCGCATGCGCACCGAGGGTTAATAAAGCCATGAAATTTTGCAGGAATGTACATAACCAAGTGGGCAACGTCATACTGTTGTTTGTAAACAATACTGTAAATTGTCACAGGCAATACATTATAATGGGCATACTACGTGTGTCAGTGTAACTCACAACTGGTAAGAGATATGTGAGCAAAAGTTTCTATACACAATAGCCAACATCAAAATCCCAATACATGTTTGTAAACAACAACAATTAGACTACGGTGACACGCAATTGACCAATCAGATTGCGACTTTAGTGGTAAATAATTTTGATGGTTATCTCTTCCGCGGTGACTATTCGTAGCCCCGGAAACCACGCATGCGGACGACAGCTTCTGGAGCTGTTCTTCCTACCAAGAAACCAGGAACAGGCTCTTCTAGCAGCAGAGAGGAGCCAGGAAGACGCTAGAGAAAGCGTGCAGGGAAAAACGCGTGCAAACAGCTGGGCGGAGTGCCCAAAGGCAGCAAGGCCTACAACGGACACTGCAGCGGGGCGGACTTGTGCTGCAGCCACGGCTCCGCGTCTAACCTATACATAGCCTCAGGCACTTTTCTTTAAATTTACTCAAACTTTCCAATGGTAGAA